CACAGAGGGGGGTGTCTGGGGGGCTCAGTCGGTTAAGCGTCCGACTCTTGATTTCAGCTCAGGTCATGATCTCAGGGTTGTGGGATTGAGCCCCGCATCAGGCTCCGCACTGGGCATGGAGCCTGCTTAAGATTCTCTCTCTCTCTCTCTAAAATGGGGAGGGGCAGAGCACAGGGGCTCATACCCTGTTTACCTCTAGGACTGACATGGCTCCCCCGACAGCCCTCCAGTAGATTATGGAGGACATTTTTAAAGTTCTCAGGGGCCCTCTGGGGGAACACTGGAGGTAGCGGAGATTTGGAATCAGCATGACCGCTGGGTGGGACGCCGGTAGCAGAGGGAAGCGATCTTGCAGCAGAGGCTGTGGCAAGAGGGGGCCAGAGGGGAGGTGGGGAGGGATGTGTCGAGAAGCGTCAGGAGGCTATGACGGGGGCCTGAAAGCCATAGATGAGGGCAGAGCAGGTTTGATATCACACAACGAAAGATCAGCAAGAACCAGTCCCCCACCCCATGCCGGGCCAATACAGAGGCCCCAGAATTGTAGATCACCCCAGGAGAAAAAGGCTAAGAGTTGACTCTACATAGTCCCAGGGCAAACCTAGAAGGGTCTGAATTACTGTAAGCTTCAGGTGTGGTTTTTTCTGTCATCTATGGAAATGGGGGCTCCTAAGTCAGTTCAGCTACAGAAGCGACTCCTGGCTGCCTACCCAGTTGACCCTTCCCCCACAAGAGACCTGCTCATGGCACTTCCCGGATGCTGAGTGGCATCTGGCTTCATGTGACATAGAGACTTCAATCTAAACGGCCCCATTCTGCCAATCTCCATCTCTGCTCTCACCTCTCCACACCCTATACTAGATGAACATTGGTTTTCTCCAAACACGCTGTACTTCTTCATACACTCCCACCTTTGGACAGGCCTCCCCGGCCTATAGAACATACCCCTCCAGAGGCTTACAATACTGTGATGTAACTGGGCGCCTGGGTAGCTCAGTTGTTAAGGTCTGCCTTCGGCTCAGGTCCTGATCCCGGGGTCCTGGGATCGAGCCCCACATTGGGCTCCCTGCTCACCTGGAAGCCTGCTTCTCCCTCTCCCACTCCCCCCTGCTTGTGTTCCCTCTCTCGCTGTCTCTCTCTCTCTGTCAAATAAATAAAGAAAATCTTTAAAAATATATTGTGATGTAACTACTTATGTCTGTCTCTGCTCTCTCCACTGGGTGAGGGCTATGTCTTATTCACAGTTGCATCCCATCTTCCCTCCAACAGTTCCTGGCTTGTTGAACACACTCAGGTAACTCACAGGTTCACCAGTGAGGGGCAACACCATCCAAAGATGGAAATGTGCCACCTTGGGAGGTAGGAGCTCCCCCATCATGGGGTATGTTCAAGTACCAGTTCTACCAGGAGCTGGCAGTGATGCCACGGAAGGCCTAGGAGCCTGGGTTTGTGACCCTCAGGAACCCATCCTCCCTTAAGAGTCTGAAGGTCCATAAGTCCTGGGAAAAGGCTGTGGTGGCAGCAGGTTGAAGCGGAGAGATGGTGGGACCAACATGTTGTGTGGGGGCGGTTTCCAGTGGTCCCAGGAACAGTAGAAGACGACTCTGATGGGGGCAGCTCCGGTACGATGGGTATATTCGCCTTCTTGAGCTCTCTCAGTAAAGCCGATGGTAACTCACAAGACTAGAGTGTCTGGACATGCCAGATAATGGTTTAATGACTGGAGGAAGGTATGCATGGATGCATCTACAGTGCCTATCGAAGAGGCGTATGATAGAAAACAAAACAGCAGAAAACCAACCGAGCCATTAAAAATCTACTTGTGCACCTACCTTCCAGCTAAAATACCAATTCCAGCCCATCCTTTCCTGAAACTCTTCCTTGCCCAAGATTCTCAGGCAGCAGTAGGCTTATGGGAGGTTTATGGAAGGTAGTCTGATGAAGGAGGGTGGATGGAGAGCCTAAGGAATTCAGGCTACTATGCCGCCTCCCTCCATCTTGGATACCTCCATTTTTAGGGTCAGGAAAACCACGTAACTCTATAAGAAGATAGAAGTAATTACCTTTGCCCCATCTGTCTTTTTAAATAATCCAAATGGACAGAAGCTGGGGAGGCTGAGTATTTAAAAAATCCTAGCAATGACTATTTTAATTCTTAGGTGATTACAGGAAACCCTGTGACATTGAAAACCTCAGCTCAGGAAAATAACAAGTGTTGGGTAGTGAGTGTATAGCAGAGACTATTTTCCCATTATACATCTGCCCCCAAAGCACCTATAATTTGCGATTTATATTCTCTTGCCTTTTGTAAGATAAAGTGAGAGAAATGCAAATTCACAGATATAATTTTAAAGATCTTTCATTCAGATCACAGCCACTTTTGAAACAAGTCAAATGGCAAACACTTCTATCTTTCCCTGAGAATTTTTGAGGCTATGGTGGCTTGGAGTAATTTAGCACAGGTAGCCAACAACTGGTGAAAGACTCAGGGGCCATGATACCAACAAAAAGCAAACAGATTAGATGCAAAGGTTGATATAATTACCCCCAAACCGCCCCTTAATCTAAGTAATTTGAAAAACTCTACAAGACAGAGTGTGTGCCCAAATTATCTAGGTAAGCAGCTCTACTCCCTGCAGAGTGGGAAGAGCCTTTGCAGACAAAAGACCTCCATCCTAAGCTGACTCCCCATCATACTCCATTAAAAGCACCCTCTTGCTTAGCCAGCACTGAATGAGCTCTACACATGCACCAGGACTATGCTGGGGATGTGAAGATGGATGAGACATGGCAGAGACCATGGCACTTCATTCTAGCTAGGGATACACACACACACACACCACACACACACACACACACACTATCAGGATGCCATCAAAAGGGAGCTGAAAATAAGATCCATTTGCAAAGAGTATCTGAGAAGGGTTGGGGGAGGGTAGTGCTGAATTATGCACCCGGAAGAGAGGGCATGTCAAGGGCTAGCTCCTCAACTGGGCATGGAATAGGCGTGGAAGCTCAGAGGAAGGGCATGTCCAGCCCAGAGAAGAGCTGGAGCCAAGACGCTAAGTGGGGGTACGTCTGGGCACCAGGACGGACTCCATGTGTCTGGAGTTTAGCGCCTGAGCAAGGCGATGCAGAGACCAGGCTAACAAGACTGAGAGGCTGTGCAGGGCCAAGGGACAAAGACTCAATCACAAAACCCAGGAGTGGTGAGAGAGACCGAAGGGAAAGAGAAGGTCCCAGAAGTGTCCCAGAAAGAAGAAGACAAAAGCACATAGGAGAGGAGAGTGGTCAGCAGGGTTGTTCTGTCCAGAGGAGGACAGCAAAGAAGCCACTGGATTGGGTGGTCCGAAGGTCATCAGGGACCGGAGGGAGGATAGGACAGAAGTCAGAGCACAGATAGGTGAGGAATGACAGGGAGGTGAGCCTGCGAGGTGCCGGCAAGGGATGATGCAACAAGGATGGGACTGGAGAAGGGAGAGGGAAGGCAGAAGAAGGATTTTGTTTTGTTTTTGTAGACTCTCAAACAATAGTAAGCTGAGAAGAAACTGCTGGAGAGTGAGAACCTTGCACACAGAGAGAGCAAGAATAAAGCAGACAGACTTCAAGGAAGGGAGGAGGTGGATTCAGGTAAAGAAGTCAGCCAGGGGGGCGCCTGGGTGGCTCAGTCAGTTAAGCATCTGCCTTCGGCTCAGGTCATGATCTTAGGGTCCTGGGATCGAGTCCCACATCGGGCTCCCTGCTCAGTGGGGAATCTGCTTCTCCCTCTGCCTCTGCCTGTCACTCTGCCTACTTGAGCTCTAGCTCTCTGTCAAATAAATAAATAAAATCTTAAAAAAAAAAAAAAAAGAAGTCAGTCTGGGACAGAAAACCTACCCCTTTTCCTCAGGATACAGGGGAGGGGGCGAGGGCGCAAGGAGTTAGAGGTACATCAAGGCAGGAAGATAAATGTTATCAAGGAACATCAAGAATCCCCCTGAGTGGCGCCTGGGTGGCTCAGTTGGTTAAGCGACTGCCTTCAGCTCAGGTCATGATCCTGGAGTCCCGGGATCAAGTCCCGCATCGGGCTCCCTGCTCAGCAGGGAGTCTGCTTCTCCCTCTGACCCTCTTCCCTCTCGTGCTCTCTGTCTCTCATTCTCTCTCTCTCAAATAAATAAAATCTTTAAAAAAAAAAAAAAAAAGAATCCCCCTGAGGCTGGAAACCACAGATCTGTTACGATGCCCAACAGTGATTTCCCTCAAGTCCTCAGTGGCAAAGGAATAGGAACAGAGAAGTTGGCAAAGGAATGAACCGCAGGGAGTCTGCAATGGAAGGAAACCCGCCTCTCTCCAGCCCCCTAGTAACTCCCTGGGGCAGACTAGTCTTTGACCTTCAAAGAAATGCTTAGTGACAGCTGGGACAACTTCCAAAGCTCAGGCACCACATCTGCCCTCCATGACAGTGCTTAACAGTTTGGGGAAGGAAATATTCTACCTGATTTCCCAAATATTTACCTTTTTTTTTTTTTTTGCTTCTGCATGTGGTACCTGAGGCTGTAACTATCGTGTGACAGGATGACAGATGGCAGGACTGACTTTGGAGACAAGGAGTCCAGATTGTTAATTACCCAGTTATCTGGCTTCTGGAAGGAACTTTCTTGGAAGTATAACATAATTTCATTCTGAGGACCTAAATGTGAATGAGGAAAATGATCACCCTTTAAATAATAGAGTCCAATGATTTTAGTCTGATGAGCCCTAAAATTGAGCCACACACTAGAAGTTGGTATACCTGTGGTATGGCAGAGTACTTTGGTGCTCGAGTTAACTCTTCTATAAATACCTAAGTGGTGTCTTTCCTATGACTGAGACTTAGCACATGTCAACAGAAGCTTGTAAAGGCTATGTGGCAGACGTCTGAAATTCCAGCGCCTTCCATGTATATGCTACAAGACTAGGGCAGAGGTCTCTTATTAAACCTGATGGTCATAATGCAGTGGACAGGTGAGCACAGGGGAACTCACCTGCTTCCTTTATATGCTTGTAAACATCATCAGAACCAGCAGAAGAGTAGGGAATGTCATCATGGGCCACAAAGTCAATCTGTTGGAGAGAGAGAAGAGTGATGTCACCAGTGGGATGGATGTGCATATGCCTTTTTTTAAAAAAAACCTCTTTTTTAAAAAAGATTTTATTTATCAGAGAGACAGAGAATGCAGAGGGAGAAGCAGGCTCCCCACTGAGCAAGGAGCCTGATGTGAGACTCCATCCCAGGACCCTGGGATCATGACCTGAGCCGAAGGCAGACGCTTAACCAACTGAGCTACCCAGACATCCCAGTGTGCAAATGCCTTTTGGAATAAAGTAGTCGTAATAAAGCAGCTGAAATAAGCAGTTTATAATGTGCATTTGAATCCTTGACTGAAAGGTACTGCCAATTGTCTCCATTTCCGGGAGATAAAGGGAACTAGATTGGTTGGTCTCCTTCACTGGTCCCTCTCTTTCCTGACAGTAGGCTTTCTAGGCCTTCTGTCCTTCTGCCTTTAAACTTTCTCCTTAGAGAATTCATTCATGCTTCAGATTTTAATCAGCCTTGCTATGATGAGGAAGCCAAACCTCCATTTCCTGTCCCACTGATGGCAACAGGCCCTCACACTTAAGCCAGGTTTTCTGTGGTAAAAATGAATTCACAACTTTTTTCTTATTTGATCTCCCTAACCACCTTGCTAGGCAAGAGGGGCCCATACTACTGTTTCCGTTGGGACAGAAGGCTGCCGAAACTAGAAAACTTGTCAGATTTGCCCCAAGTCACCCTTTGGCATCATTTTAAAATCAACCTTTTCGATATTTAATTCAGCCTGAAAACTGGTGTCCCCTCCCAGAGGCACCTCCACTTTCCCGGTGTACCTAGGCCCCAAACACCTTGGAATTGGCCTTCTTTCCCTACTTCCTTTAGTCTCCAGGCACAAAGGTCCCAAGGCCCCCTGGGCTGTGTGAGAGTGCGCGTGCGCGTGGGAACGTCCCTGCGTGCCGCGTGCCCAGCAGGTCCTCTCCGCGGCTGCTACGGGAAACCCAGGGCCCGGTGACCTGGACTACTGCTTCCAACTTGTACCTGACCTTCCTCACTGCAGCCTGTCTCCTTTCCAAACCACCCCTCTGTCACGTGGGGGGCAGGTCCTTCTTAACCGGGTTTCTTCCGTGTCATCCTTCCTGCTGATCTCCCCTAGCTCCCTGCCTCCTACTCCACCAAATCTAAACTTGCTGCCTGGCTTTTGCAGCCCTTTGTGACGAGGCTTGACTCCACCTGGAGAGGTAGTTTACAGCAGGAGTCCCATCTGCCTGCCCCACCGCTTACTAGCTAGAGAAGTCATAAATTTAATCCTTAAATTAGTATTTCTGAACCTGGGCACTTGTGACACCTTGAGGTGGATTGTTCTTGGGGGGGTGCCCTGGCCTTTACCCACTAGATGCCAGTAGCACCCCTCTAGCTGCGACAACCAAAAGTTTCCAGACACTGCCAAATGTCCCTTGAGGGCAAATTCAAGCCCAGTTGAGAATCGCTGGATTAAATGATGTCGTGATGGAAAAGTGCTAAAAATGATAACCAGTGCACAGTAAACACTCAGTGTTATTATTCAATCCATTATTAGTACTCAAACTTAGTTCCTCCTCCTCTCCAGTATATAACAACAACGACGACGACGACAAAGTCTCGGGGTGGCCGTGAGATTGAATGCGATTCATGTAGGAGCAAAGCCCTCAGCACAGTGCCTGGCACATGGTGAATAATAAACGGCGGCCACCGCTACCATCGTCAGAACCCCCATCATGCCTGGCACGAGTTGAATATACAATAGATGTTCAGTAAAAATGTGTTAGCGACTGCTGGAAGTAAATCATATTGTAGTTTCTCCTTTTGCTTTTTATTCTTGCTGGGAGATTATCTCCTCTGCTATTACCCATGCACATTTATCAGTGTTCTCTCTTCTCTTCTGCATCGGGAATTTAAAAATAGAAAAGAAAACTCTTAGAACAGCTTCATCTTGTGGGGTTTTTTTTTTTTTTTTTTTTGGTACGGCTAAAGAAGGAAAGAATAGCTCTTAATGTGGAGCTGGTAAGGCGACACAAAGCACATAATTTCATGCAGATCAAAAGAATTTCTCGTGTTTTCAACTAATAAAAATCTTGTATCAGTAGGAGCCTCAGGGTCACAAAATCACAGATATAAAGTTCTTTCCTTAAAGGCTGACCTGTGCCCTTCTGGATATAATGCATATTCATTTGTTCCTTGAAAAAGGATGCCTGTGAATATACAAGCATCAATAATGATGATGGTGGTGGTAATGACAATGACATTTTGAAGCTCTGGCTATGGGCCACACAGTGTTCAAAGGGTTTTACTTACATGATCTCATTAGATTCTCAAAACAGCCCCCCATGGGAGAAGTACTAACATCACCTGAGTTTACAATTTAGGTAAGTGGGTTCAATATCTTGCTCAAGGTCCCACAGGTAGGAAGGGATAGAGGCGCACTTGGATGTGGGTGGCCTAGCTCTAGCACCCACAGTGAGGAAGTGAGAGGACATCAGTCCCCAGGCCTGGGCAGAAGACAGGTGCTGTATCAAGTGACACCACATGACAGTTCCTGAAGTCACCTCTTTCAGAGAGTAGAAGCCTCTGGGCTTTCTGCATGTAGGCTGTAGAACCAGACTCTAATTCTTCTACTTAGAGAACATGGAAGAGTAGGTACCTTGTGTTTTTCCAGAAACTCTGGAGTGAGTGTCCACGGAGCATCTCTAATGACTTCATCCACATAGCGACAGTGTCTGAGAGCTTCATATCTCTCTGCTTCGTTCATCACAGTGAAACCTTTGAATTTGTGGGTGAGGTCATCACTGCAAACTGAAACAGACATAGACATGAAAGGCTGCTACCTGGCCCAGGCCCTGCTCGCAGCCATCCTGGGACATCAGGGCTTGTTCAGCAAAACAAAAGGAGCTCAGCCTTACTTGGTACATGATGTAATCAAACTTGTTTTTTTTACAGGAACAAAGCATCAGGAAAGCAAAGCAAGCTGAAATCCATCAGCAATCGAGAATTCCATTTTAGTGCTAATTTTGACTTCATTCTCTGCTGCAACTTTTATTAAAATTATTCTCCACACTACCTAATGTGACTTCTGTATCTTTTATTTTTCTATCCCACCATTCAGTAAAAATTACTATTCGGAAAAAAAAAAATGGCCAAATGACCAGAGAAAGAGGGAAGAGGGAAAAAGAAAAGAAGCAGGAGGCCTGAATTTTAGAAGGTCTGAACAATCAGTTCCAATTCCCTTGCTGGATCATTGTACTTAGTAACCCAACTGTGATTCCTTTGCATGCATGTGTGCATGGGCATACGCGCACGTGCATCCGTGTGTGGGAGCACACGCATGCACACACGCGCACACACACACACACTTCTGTTCCCCGGATTGAGGTCCAGTCACTACACATCAGACCACACAATCAAGAGGAGGAAGTCATAAAATAAAAGATCTGATCTAGCAGAATTCATCCTTGTAACATGTCTTATCCTTCCTAGATCTCAGGTTCCTGAATCTCCAAATGGGGGTTAATATCATCCACTATCAACTTTAGAAAGAATTTTTAGAGGATTTACATAAGAGTGCTTTGAGATAAACTGAACAAGAAATATTATTCATTATTCTGTCCAGAATATATTTGTTTTCAGGAAAGGCAGCTTTCCTACATGTCAGGAAGAAGTGTCACTGTGGGTCCAGTCCCTGTTTACCAATATCCTGGTGAAGGTCGGACTACAGCCAGACTGCCCTGACTGCTCCATAAGAGGTTTTATGTACACACAATAAAATTTACAAAATTTAAGTGTTCAACATATGTTTTAAAAACAAAAATACAATTATTTTCTTGGAACCGAAGGATGACCCACATCCAGAACCAAATCTAGCCACAGAGTGAGCACAGCCAACGGCTACAACCAGCGTCCTTGGAAAACCTCCTGGGGCAGCCCTCATTCGCTCCACCTCCAAACCATCCGCAGACCTGCCCCCCCGCCCCCGCCTTCAGCGCCCCTGCAAGCCACGGTGTACTCACCACCTCCACCGCTCACCAGCCCGCCCACCTTCTCCCCCCACGGATTACTGCCGTGGCCTCCTAACTTGGCTCTTGTTTCTGCCTTGCCCGCCCCCAGCAACCTCTGCCTATTGGCCAGAATCATCCCCTTAAAACCTGTCTGATTGTCGTCCTTGGGCTCAGAACCCTTCCTGTCTCCCTCAGAGTAAAAGTGAAACAATTCCACTGGCCCACAGGCCCCCACAAGACCCACGCCTCAGCCCACTCTTTGCCTCTCGGACAGCGCCTCCTTGCATCCCAGCCCTTGGCCTTCATGCCGTTCCCTGAAGCCACCAAGAATGCTCCTGCTCAGGTCAGGACTTGGCACCTCCTACTCCCCAAACCTGGAACAGTTGTGCTCCTCTGCAGGCCACAGAGCTCACTTCCTCTCCTCCCTCGAGGCTTCCCAGCCATCCTACTGAAATTGCCATTTGGCCCCCATCCCTGGTGGTTGCCATCCCTTTCCCATTTTACTTCTTGCCATGGCGCTCCTCATCATGTAACTGTCTTATTGAATTTTACTGCTGATGTCCTTCTACAAAAATATATGCTCCCTGAAGACAGGGACTTTTGTTTGGTTTTCTGATGGCCCATAAGGGCTCTTAACAAGTATTTATTGAATGAACGAACAGTGCCTAAAACATACAGATGCTCAGTTAATGTTTACTATGATTTACAATAATATTTATCTGTAGGCACATTTCAACAACATATATATAATTAAGAGACTAGTATGTCTCTAGATACACATGTATATGCCTATACATCTCCTATACATACTTCCTGAGATGTTGTATAGACCTGTATAGGATAAAATACAATAAAGACAACATTGTAGTAGTTTATGTTACCCAAACACCATCAACCACGTGGCTGGCTCAAAAAGTTTAAGGAGTATTAGAGTCACCTAAGGAGCTTGCTAAATATAAAGATACCTGGGTCTCACTGCCCAAGAGTTTGATTCTGTGGGTGCTATGGTCTGAGTGTGTCCCCCTAAATTCATTTGTTAAAATCTTAAATCCCAAAGGTAATGATATTTAGGAGGTAGGCCTTTGGGAGGTGCTTAGGTCTTGAGGTTGGAACCCTTATGAATGGGATTAGTGTCTTATTAAGAGCCTGACAGAGTTCCCTAGAAACTTCCACCACATGAGAAAACAGCGAGAAAGGAACAACTCTGAAACAAGATGAGGGCCCTCAGCAGGACACCATGTTAGGGCCTTATCTTGGAGTCTCCAGTCTCCCGAACTGTGAGAAGTAAACTTGTGCAATTTTTAAGCCAGCCAGCCCAGGGTGTCTTGTTGTAGCAGACCAAATGAATTAAGACTGTGAGTCTGGAGTAGGGCCTAGGCAGCTCTATTTCTGACAAGCGTCAGGTATAATTCTGATATGTACAACATTCAAAAGCCCCTGGAGCATATTATGAACATCTTGAGCCAAGAGCCCAGCCTGTTTCTGAATCACCCATCACTCCAGCTTGGGGTGGGGGCTAGGCAGGTATTGGGCCATAATTACTATGTTCTGTACTGATTCATGGATTGCATTGGCTTTAGACTCCATAAATAGGAATTATTTATGGGTCAAGATATACAATTTAAAAATTGATCTAAGACTTTTTAAATGTTCTGTTAGGACTTTATTAAAACATTACTTCAAGAGTCATACTGAGCAGAAATGGATTTCAGATCCATCAATTTTCTATTTTAAACAACACAAAACTAGGCTGGCCATATCCTCTCCCCTTTTGAACCTGCACCTGAGCAATTTGGTGTAACTTCTAGATGACCGAAATAATGGCCCCCTGACAGAGCACAAAGAAAACAAACATCCTGTTTATGCCAATCCGGGGTCCTATTTTCATATCCCAGGAGTGACCTCAAGAAGCAGCTGAACATGCTGACCGGTTATTGTCCAAACATTAATTACGCCCAAAGCAGTACTGTTGTTCTGGAGTCTTGGCAAATGCACTCTGACAACCAGATGGAGAACTCTGAGCAATGGTGTTCCATGGATGAATTCACTGAGTCATCTGGGAGCTCACACTGTAGCTACCCCATCCTGGCAGCTCCCTGTGCTCAAAATGAAATAGTACCAGTCCTCTGCAGGAGAGAAAATGTAATATAAGGGATGAACTTTGGAACCAAACAGACTTGGGTTCTAATCCCTGCTCTGCTACTTAAAACTGGGAAAATTACTCTGTCTCTTAAGACTCAGTCATCTGTCTTTAAAACATGGCAAAATTTTGATAATTGAATGTGATCATCTGAGTAAAGAGCAATGCTCAGTAACATTTGCCATTTATAAATAGTAGTATAAAACCAGCACTGGGGATATTCATTTGTGTTTTGAGCTCCGTCTTTTTCCTGCCCCCACTCCAAGCAGGTGCTCAGTCTCTTGGAACAAACTCCCCCCTAGAAGCTGTGAAATTCAAGTTGCTGGTACACAGCCTCCTCCCTGGCTGCTGCTTCCTCCAAGCCAGAACTCATTAGAGAAGTTCTGTAAGGAAAGAGACAAAGAGAGAGAAGAGTCCTCCAAATGAGGAAGAGGCCAAAGATCTGAGGATCCCATAAGCAGAAGGGTCAGTGGCAGACCCCACGAGGGATGATGACATGGTACCCTGGGCTGGGGGTTCCATGTGAGCACAGACGGCAGGTGCCTCACCTTGCACAGGCTCAGTGGGGCTGGGCTCAAGACTGGAAACCCCTCTCTTGTTTCCGTAAACATTTTGGAATCTCGTTGGACTCTGCAGAGGTGAAGATAGCCTAACAAGGACTGAGACTCAATGTCCCACCAGTCAGGCAAAATGGAGTCCCAGTGGAATATTTAATTTCAAGTAAAGTACAAGAGAGCTTAAAGGAGTAATATTTATGTCAAGTTTATGGAGTACTATTTATGTCTATTATAGTAAGAGTAGTATTACATTTATTGTTGTTATTTTTTATTCCCCTCCTATGAGGTAGAAATAGGTATTTGGTGACTCATAGCCTTAAAAAATATTTTAGGGAGATACTAACTGGGCTTGAAAAAAGCATGGAAGATACTAGAGAATCCCTCTCTGGAGAAATAAAAGAACTAAAATCTAACCAAGTTGAAATCAAAAAGGCTATTCATGAGGTGCAATAAAAAATGGAGGCTCTGCTAGGATAAATGAGGCAGAGGAGAGAATTAGTGATATGGCAGACCAAATGATGGAGAATAAAGAAGCTGAGAAAAAGAGAGATAAACAACTACTGGATCATGAGGGCAGAATGCGAGAGATAAGTGATACCATAAGACAAAACAATATTAGAATAATTGAGATCCCAGAAGAAGAAGAAAGAGAGAGAGGGGCAGAAGGTATATTGGAGAAAATTATAGCAGAGAACTTCCCTAATTTGGGGAAGGAAACAGGCATCAAAATCCAGGAGGCAAAGAGAACCCCCTCAAAATCAATAAAAAGAGGTCAACATCCCGACATATAAGAGTAAAACTTACCAGTCTTAGAGACAAAGAGAAAATACCGAAAGCAGCTCGGGACAAGAAGTCTGTAACCTACAATGGTAGAAACATTAGGTTGGCAGCAGACCTATCCACAGAGACCTGGCAGGCCAGAAAGGACTGGCATGATAGATTCAGGGCACTAAATGAGAAAAATATGCAGCCAAGAATACTATATCCAGCTAGGCTGTCATTGAAAATAGAAGGAGAGATAAAAAGCTTCCAGGACAAACAAAAACTAAAAGAATTTGCAAACACCAAACCAGCCCTACAAGAAATATTGAAAGGGGTCCTCTA